ATATCAATACCTTAACCCACCATCTCCAACAATTAGAAAAAGAACAGCAAGAAAAGCCTACAGTCACCAGAATTTAAAAAAAAAAAAAAAAAAATTGAGCAGAAATAAATAAATGAAACAGAAAATAGAAAGACAACAGAAAAAATCAACAAGACTAGAAATTGGTTCTTTGAAAAGATTAATAAAATCAACAAACCACTGGCCAATTTAACAAAGGAAAAAGGGAAGATGCAAAAAAATACCACCTGTGGTGGTTAAGTTGTGTGTCAACTTGGCTGGGCCTGGTTGAGGGACTGGGCAGCTGGAGGTAGTATTCCCCACGATGAGACTGGTGGTCATCAACTCCGTGGTGGAATCTACTGTGAACAGCTGAGTAGCTGCCTTAGGGATGTGGTCTGCTTCCAGTATAGAAGAAGACACTTTGAGAAAGGTCTCTGAGGTTTTTGGCTCGTCTGGATCCTGCATTTAGCTGAGTCTTGATCTCAGTGCCCTGCCATGTTGTCTGCCAATCTTGAGACTATTTCTGGACTTGAACTAGTGGCCTGCCATGTTATTTGATAATCTTAGGACTGTGCCATTTTACTTGTCAACCTCAGCAGCCAGCAGCTGCCTGAGTTAGGAGATGCCTCCAGCTTCAGTGGGCTGGGAGCAAGAGGCAGAGCTGAAGCCCAAGGTCGAGGGCTTTCACCCAGCCCCTAGAGATGACACTTTGAACTCAGACTTCTAGCCTCCCAAACTGTATGAGAATAAATCCCTATTTGTGAAAGTCATCCACTTATGGTATTATCTGTTAGAGCAGCATTAGAGAACCAAAATAACATGAATAAGAAATGAAATGGGCAAAGTCACAACAGAACCAACCAAAATAAAAAGAATAATGTCAGGATACAACAAATTTTAAAACTAGAAGAAATTGACAGATTTCTAGAAACACATTACTTACCTAAACTAACACAGACTGGGGTGAAAAATTTGAACAGACCCATAATAAAAGAAGAAATTAAACAAGTCTATAAAATAAACTACCAACAACAAAACTTCCCAGCCCAGAAGGTTTCACTGGAGAATTCTACCAAACATTCAGGGAAGAGCTGATGCCAATCCTACTCAAACTATCCCAGGACACAGAAAAGGATGGAATCCTCCCGTGTTCATTTTATGAAGCAAGCATAACCCTGATACCAAAACCAGGCAAAGACAACACTAAAGCAGAAAACTACAGACCAATATCCCTCATGAATTTAGAGGCAAAAATCTTCAACAAAATCCTAGCCAATAGATTCCAACCACATATCAAAAAAAAAATAACACATCATGACCAAGTGGGGTTCACATCAGGTATGCAAGGATGGTTCAACATTAGAAAAACAATCAACATCATCCATCACATAAATAAAACAAAGGAAAAGAACCACATGATCATATCAATTGATGCAGAAAAGACATTTGATAAAATCCAACACCTTTTCCTGATAAAAACTCCCTGCAAAAGAGGAATAGAAGGGACATTCCTCACCATAATAAAGGACATATATGCAAAACCAACAGCCAACATTATACTCAATGAAGAGAGGCTGAAAGCATTCCACTTACAAATGGGAACCAGAGAAGGATGCCCTCTGTCATCACTTGTATTCAACATGATATTGGAAATCCTAGCCAGGGCAATAAGGCAAGAAAGGGAAATAAAAAACATCCAAATTGGGAAGGAAGAAGTAAAAGTATCCCTATTTACACATGATTATGATCCCATACATAGAAAACCCAAGAAACTCAGCAAAAATTTACTGGAACTTATTGAAGGATTTAATACAGTTCCAGGATACAAGATCTACATACAAAAAGCAATTGGATTCCTATACACCAGCAAAGAGGTCTCTGAAAAGGAAATATGGAAATCAAACCCAGAAATAGATCCATCGACCTATGGTCAGTTGATCTTTGGCAAAGGGCCGTAATCCATTAAATGGGGAAGAAGTAGTCTCTTTAACAAATGGTCCTGGCAAAACTGGATACCCATTTGCATAAAAATGAAACAAGTTCATACCTCACACTATACACAAAAACTAACTCCAGATGGATCCAAGACTTAAATGTAAAAGGTAAAACTATAAAGTTCATCAAAGAAAAACTGGGCAAACTTGTTGTTGTTGTTGTTGTTATGTGCCGTCGAGTCGGCCCCGACTCATAGCGACCCCTCCTTGGGTTTCCGAGGCAGTATCACTACGGAAGTAGGATTGCCCAACCTTCCTTCCGAGGAGTGGCTGGTGGGTTTGAACCGCCAGCCGTCTGGTTAGCAGGCAAGTGTCTTAGCCACTATGCTAAGGGCCCTAATATATGTTAGTATTTGGACGGTGTATCTTTTAACTGGAACGTTTTACCCCATTACGTGCAATGCGTTACTGATGTAGTTGTTTCAGTCCACCATCTTTGGTGCCATTTGTGCCACATTGTCTATATTTCTTATCTCTTCTTTCTTGGCATCTTTGTGTATTTTCATTGCCCCATCTTGCAGACAGCCCCTGTGTGCTCCCTGATTCCTCTGCACTGTTAACTTATTAATGACCACGGATATGGTCACTAATGTACACACCTGGAGGGTGCAATGACCTTGGAACATTTTGTCATGCTTTTCTCCCTCCCAGTTGCTGTACACCACCTTAAAGCTTTGTGGACACCCACTTCCAGTTACCCTCATCACTGCTGCTGCTACTGGAGCTGCTGGCAGAGCCCAGAGGATTGGGTCCTAGCATCAGCTGTGGCTGAGATGGTAGCAGTGGGAGTGGAGAGAGAGAAGTGCGTGGGGAGGGAGCGGAGCATCCCCAGCCCCACCCGCCGTTCCACCCACCTGAGCATCAGGAGCAGCCCGGGGCCCCACATCTCCTGCCACCACCCCCAACACTCCTGCCTGCCTGCCTGCCTGCCTGCAGAACAAAGCCAACAGCCCACACCCAGAGCCATGTCCTCTGCCTCCTCTCCCTGTGTCCCACCTGTGGTCCACTGTCTGGGATTGGGGATCTTTAAAACAATTAGGAGGAAATAATAAGCAAAAGGGGAGCTTCTTTCCCTTTAACAACAACAAAAAGCAAACTTTGTGGGACCCCAGAAGTATAAGCAGATGGACGTGTGTGCAGACACATGTGCACGCAGTCGAACACTGCCAGAACAGGCATTGAGCAACGCTTGCCCGCACTGCTGCTGCCCTGCATTTTCATGCTATGGGTTTTCAATTCCACGAGGCGTTCTTTACCCTGTGCTTTATACGGCCAGTGTCCGCTCAGCCTTATTCTCCCGCTCCTTGCTCTTCTTTCCTTCTGCCATCTCTACCTTTGCCTCTTTCTTCTTGAAGGTGATTCTTTAGAGTGGTTTTTAGGATGAGTCTGCTGTTTCTTGTCTGAATTATCTTTAGTTTTGCCTTCAGTAGTAAAAGCTGCGTTATCTGGGTATGGAGCTCTGTTAGCAGTTGTTTTCATTCAGCACACTGAAGACGCGCCGCTGCTTCCCACCTTCCGTAATTGTCATGAGAAGTCAGCTGTCAGTCTGTCATGTCCTTGAAGGCATCTGTTTTCTCCTTTTAAGATTGTCTTCTCATCATCGATTTTCTGCTTTTCCAGCATTTGGTTGTATTTTTAAAAACAATTTCCATTGCTGATGAAATTTTGAAGCTCGCCTGTTATTTCACTGAACATAGTAACTTAGTTATTTTACAGTCTGTGTCAGATAATTCCAATGTGATGTTTCTTATTTCTGCTGATTCCTGTTCATGATGTCTCGCTGCCTGTGTACCTGATTATCTTTGCCTGTGTCCTGAATTTTCTGTTTGAAAATTATTTGTAGAAATAATTTGAGATCTAAGATGATTCTGTCTTTATCCAGAGAGGGCTTATTTTTGGCTTCTGCTTGGAACCTAGGGATGCTACCAGTCTGGAACCACCTTAATCCAGACTGCAGACTTGAAGCTCCCCAATTGCTCAGATGAAGTGAAGCTGAGTTACAAGTCTGCACAGGGCTGTTTACTCCTGCCTCACTCTAACTGTGAGGGGAAGCCCTTCAAGTCCCAGCTTCGTGTGGGGGGTTATCAGACTCTACTTTGAGCTTACTGCTAGTTTGGGCATTTCTCTCTGTCTCCCTCCAAAGGACTACTAAATCGCAGGTCTGTTTTGCAGCTGCTGTTTCTAAATCTGCACGTGCACTAACAGAAGCAGTCTTGAGTGATTGCTTTACCTCCACTGTCTCTTCCTGTCCTAGATCCGGGGTTGTTGCCATACCACTTGCTGGCTCACGCTTTGGCGCTTTTAAGAAGGGAGATGTATTTATGTCTTGTTTCTTGCTCTGGATCACACAGCCTCCCCTCACCTGGCAGGGAAGTCCACAGGGTCTTTTCTGAAAGCACAGTTCTGACCATATTCTACCCCGGAAGCTAGTAAGAAGCATATAGAGCTGGCACTGTGACCGTAGCTCATTTGGACCTGCCCACTGCCCTGTGAGGTCAAAGCTTGTATCTGCCCCGTTTTACAAGTGAGAAAACCAGAGCACAGAGAGGTCAAGCAAAGGTAACTTACCTAATGGTTGGTTGCATGGACAGTGAGGTGCAGTCAGGATTTGAACCAGGTGTGCCTGTCTCCAAGGCTGCTGCTTCTGTCTGCTCACAAGGCTTCGGGGCCTCCCCACTGCCTGAGACCTGAGAGCAAACCCCTCAACCTGGCGCCCAGGACTTCCGGTCTTCTCCAGCTGTGTCGGCCCCTCCATCCCTACACTAGGCGCTCCGCAGGGTATTGGAGTACAGAAAATAGGTCATAACCCTGTGCCCTGGGCACACAGCCTGTCTGGGAGAGGACAGAGCAGGGCTGAGTGGCCTCGTGTCATGGACAGGGGACTGTCAGAGCATCCTGGGGATGCCCTGTCCAAGACTGACTCACCACATAGGGTGCCCACCAACACCCCACACACACCTGGCCACAGCCACCGCTGACCACCACCTCTGGCTTTCCGCCCAACAGGTGAACAACAACGGGATCATCTCCTTCCTGAAGGAGGTCTCCCAGTTCACCCCAGTGGCCTTCCCCATTGCCAAGGACCGCTGTGTGGTGGCGGCCTTCTGGGCAGATGTGGACAACCGGCGTGCAGGTGACGTGTACTACCGGGAGGCCACCGACCCAGCCACACTACACAGAGCTGCGGAGGATGTCAGGCGCTACTTCCCCGAACTCCCAGACTTCTCTGCCACCTGGACTTTCGTCGCCACCTGGTATAGGGTGACCTTCTTTGGAGGCAGCACCTCTTCCCCCGTGAGTCTGAGGCATTTGTCCTGGGGAGGGAGGGAGGCCATCTGGGCTCTGTGGTCACCCCACACCAGGACCCCAAGCCTTGCTGAGGTGATTGGGCAGAATCATTGGCCCACATATGAGAGGAGAGAACTGAACTTCAAGTACTCACCCAAGGTGACAAGAGCCAGGGCTGAGGAGGACTGAGCTTCTGAGCCTCCTAGGCTCTCTGGAACCACCAAATACCTCAGTAGGAAGCTCACAGGCTGGGGGGATGCAGGGAGATACGTGTGGGAGGGTTTCCTCTTGGAATGGTGTCCTACTGTCTGCTTCTACCCTGACACGGATACACCTAGTGGTGGCTTTAAAGAACAGGAAGTTCTCACTCCCAGTTCTGGAGTCTAGAGTCCAGATCAGGGCATTGGTTTTGCGGAGGGTCCCTCCTGGTCTGTATCCATAGCATTCCTTGGCTGTTCTGTGGCCTCTTTCCCTGTGTGTGTCCTTCCATGTCTGCTCTCCTTTTATAAGACACCCTCAGAAAGGATTAGGTTTAGAGCCCACGTAGTCTATGGCCTCATTCACAAAACACAGAAAACCTCAATTTCTAAACAAGGTCATGCTCACAGTGGGGCTTAGAACCTCAACATAACTTTCAGGGGCACAGTTCAATCCATACCAAATAGCTCAGTACTCAAAAGGGGTGAACTGGGAAGTGAGGGTTTTATACTTCATTCCTGGGAAGAAGAAAGAGGCCATCTACTTCCAAAAAAAAAAGGCCAGTGAAAACTTTATGAATAGCAGTGAAACTCTGTCTGATATATTACTGAAAAACTCTATGAATAGCCCTGAAACACTGTCTGATATAGTGCTGGATGGTAAGCTCCTCAGGTTGGAAGGCACTCGAAATACAACTGGGGAAGAGCTGCCTCCTCAGCATAGAGCCAACCTTAAGGATGTGGGTGGACCTCCATTTGCTGATGTGGCATGACTCAAAATGAGAAGAAACAGCTGCAAACATCCATTAATAATCAGAACGTAGAATGTATGAAGTATGAATCTAGGAAAGTTGGAAATTGTCAAAAATGAAATGGAACACATAAAGATCGATATCTTAGGCATCAGTGAGCTGAAATGGACTGATATTGGCCATTCTGAATGAGACAGCCATATGATCTACTATGCCAAGAATGACAAATTGAAGAGGAATGGCGTGACATTCATCATCATGAAGAATGTTTCAAGATCTGTCCTGAAGTACAATGCTGTCAGTGATAGGATAATACCCATAGGCCTACAAGGAAGACCAGTTAATACTACTATTATTCAAATTTACGCACCAACCACCAAAGCTAAAGAGGAAGAAACTTAAGATTTTTACCAGCATCTGCAGTCTGAAATTGACCAAACATGCAATCAAGATGTATTATTACTAGTGATTAGAATGTGAAAGTAGGGAACTGATACTGAAGTATCAGTTGTTGGAAAATATGGCCTTGGTGACAGAAACGACACCAGAGAATTTTGCAAGACCAATAACTTATTCATTGCAAATACCTTTTTCAACCATATAAATGGCGTCTATACACATGGACTTCACTAGATGGAGACAGGAATCAGACCAACTACATCTGTGGAAAGAGGTGATGGAGAAGCTCAGTATCTTCAGTGAAAACAAGGCCAGGAGCTGACTGTGGAACAGACCATCGACTGCTCACATGCATCATCACTAATTGCTCCACGGTGTCTCCACTGTCAGCCAGCAGGGTTGTGCTGCCTGCGTATCACAGGTTGTTAATGAGTCTGCCTCCAGTCCTGATGCTGTGTTCCTCTTCATGTAGTCAAGCCTCTCAGTTATGTTCTCAGCATACAGACTGAATGAGTATGGTGAAAGGATACAGCCCTGATGCATACCCTTGCAAGTTAAACCATCTAACATCACAGCAGTAAGCAATGCCCCTATGGCCGGGTGGGTTAATATTTTCATGGAGTATTTCATGGAATTTGAGAATTCCATGAAAACATAAAACCTATTAAAAATTGCTTTTCCTTGTTTCTTATCTTCCTTTTAGTTTGTTTGTTTCATCCAAGTGGCTTTGGCAGAGGAGTACTCACCCTTTCCACACCCTCCCCCCTTGAGAGCAGGGGCTGTGTCTTCTCCCATGGCCACACGCTCCCAGACGCCCTCGGCACACTTCACCCACTGTCCCAGGAGCAGTGGTGGAGGGAGAGTGTCTGGTAGCAACATGGGAAGATGGCCAAGGACAAGGCTGCCCTGGGGTGACCACTGTGAGGGTCCATGGTGGTGGCACAGTGTGCCAGGGATGGGGGAAGGGAGCAGAGTGTCATCAGCCCCATGCTTGGCAGGTCAACACGTTCCAGGTCGTCCTCATCACTGATGGCAAGGCCTCCTTCACCATCTTCAACTACGAGTCCATCACCTGGACCACCGGCACGCACGCCAGCAGCGGGGGCAATGCCACTGGCCTAGGGGGCATTGCGGCCCAGGTAGGTCATGGATGTGGTGTGAGGAGGGAATAAGGGGGCCCTTAACCCAGGCAGGCCCAGCCTTCCGCACACAGTGAGGATGCACTGCCCAGGGTACATCCTGGCCCTGCTGCCCTGATCCTGCATCAGGATGGGTACTCCTTGGTTCCTCATTCTCCAGGGGCAGACATATGCACAGCCTGCCCAGGGTGCAGGAAGTCCCGGGAAACAGGGGTGGTGGTCACAGCACAAGCCTTACCTGGCCCAGAGTGTCCCTTCTGGCCACCACCCAGCAAATACCACATGCTTGAGGTCCCTCCTGCCTCTTTGAGCCCACAATGGTGGGGGGAGTCCCTCCTGCTCTTGCCCATAGTCCCCGGAGGAGATCACAGGCAGACAGAGCGCCCAGGAAGCATGTGGCCCGAAGGCAGGGAAGGTGGGGTGCCTGGCAGCAGAGGCCTGCAGGAAGCAACCTGGTCCAGGCTGCCTCAGGCTTCGAAGCCCTGACTCCTTAAGTGGGGCCCAGCCCTACCTGATGCCACAGCCATCTTTGTCCTTGAGGCCAGAGGCCTTAAGGGGCCTCTTTGATGCCAGGGGCCCTTCTGGGCAGAGTCACTGCTTCCTGAGGTGGCACTTGTCCCCAGGTGAGGTGAGCATGGGGGTGGGGGGCCACATGGACCTGTGCTGGAAGAACTGGGTGTGGGCCTAAGGACCTGGCTGGGAGGCACTGACCCAGGCAGGCCACCTGGGGGGGCGGGGACGCTGACGCTGGCAGAGCCCCTCCCCCTGCAAGGCTGTGCGAGGCCACCCCGGGAGGTGGGTCTCAGACCCAACCGGCCCTGCCTCGCTGTCTCCCCCGCAGGCCGGCTTCAATGCGGGTGACGGGCTGCGGTACTTCAGCATCCCCGGCTCGCGCACAGCGGACGTGGCCGAGGTGGAGACCACCACCAACGTGGGCGTGCCCGGGCGCTGGGCGTTCAGAATCGATGATGCCCAGGTGCGCGTGGGGGGCTGCGGCCATACAAGTAAGAGGACCAGCGGCTCAGGCGCGGGCCTCCCGGGGCGCGGGCGGAAGAGGAGGCATGAAGGGAGCTGGGCGCGGGGAGGGGTGGGATGCAGGGGCGAGGCGAGGATACAGTGAGGGGGGGAGGGCCGGCCCGGCGGCCTGCAGGGAGGGGGACCCCGGAACGACCCAAGGGAGGCTTCCGCTGCCCTCTGGTCCCAGGTCCTGCGAGCTGCGGCGAGGCGCGTGAACCGGGGACAGTCCCAGCTCGGGGGCTTTGCAGCCCTCTGCTCGGGTCAGGCGGGGTCTCAGGGGAGGAGCCAGCCGTGGCCTGTCCTTGGTGCCCTGGGGGGTCTCAGCATTTATCGTGGGCACCAATCCGCGGGACAGAGGCAGTTTCTGTGGTCTGTTCACTGTTGGACCACCCCGAGTGTCGCGCCTACAGTGGGGAGACCCCCTCCGGCTCAGCACACGGCAGACGGGGAAGAAGGTACCCCTGGGCCGGCTCCGGCCCACCCTTCCCTGCTGTGCGACCTTGGGCAGGTCGCTGAACCTCTCTGAAACAGTGCTAGTGAAAGGGAGCGGGGCTGTCCAATGGTCTTTCAGCCAAGAACTGGACACTCCCCCCGCATAGCCCGGGTTACAATGAGGTGCGTGCCGGGGCCTGGCCTGATGGGGACCAAGGCCTCCTGCAGAACCCCGGTCCCCAGACTGAACCCACGCGGTGGCGGAGACAAAGCCAGATGAGAGAGTGCATTTCCCCGCAGGATGGACAGGCTTCCGCTCGTGCACCCCAAGCCAGGGCCAGGAGCAGGGTGGTCACAGGCTACCCACCATCGGGGTGAGGATGTGCCCCTCCCCCCACGGGAGCTCCAGCCACAGGGGGTCCCGCCTAGGGCCGTCCTAGGGGTTTACCAGCCGCTGGTTTGAGAGGCTCACATCTTTCGGGGATAGGCTGCCTGTCGGGGCTGGGGTCACGGTGGCCTCGGGGCCCCTGGGGGTCCTCCTGAGGAGGCGGCTGGGCTTGAGCTTCTGTCTGGACACACGGATGGGGAGCCTGGGGCTTGGCCTTGCACGAGTTTCTGGAACCGTCTGTGCTAGAGCAGAGACCACGCCACGCCCGGCCAGAGCCCCTCGCACTGCGCATCTCGGGGACCCACCCCCAGAGCAGCTCCCCTTCTTGCGTTGCATTCCTGACCCTGGGTCACCACCCTCCCATCCTCTAGGATCTGTGTGGAGTTGAAGGATTAAAGGAATAGGAAGGGCTGTATGTTGACGTGGTGGCGGGACCTTTGCGTCCTGGGGCCAGAATCCCAGCTCAATGCCTCAGGATGTCCAGGCGCAAGTCTGGCCCCGCTGGCGGGCTGCCTGGCTGCCCTGAGGTGCCGACGTGGCCGCATCCGCCCTGCGCCGGCTCACCGAGGTCGTCCCCGGCGGTCATTCTGGGGACCTGTGCGGGATGAGGGGACCTAGCAGCGCTGACACCAGGCCTGTGTCCATAGCCTCTGTGTGTCTGACCCTGCGGCCCTGCCTCAACGGCGGCAGATGCATTGACGACTGTGTCCCGGGCGACCCCTCCTACACCTGTTCCTGCCTGTCGGGCTTCACAGGGCGGCACTGCCAGCTGGGTGAGTGCACAGGCCGTGGCTGAGGGCCTGGCTGCGCTGGCTTGGGACCCCCCCGGTCCCGGTCTTGGTCTGTGGTGTGGGGACTGCAGGAGGCTGTTGGTCAGATACTGGCTGAGGGTGGTGTGTGGGGTGGCAGGTGAGTGCTTTGTCTGACTGACTGCAGGCGTGATGCTGGGACCCCAGGAGGCCCCAGGGCCAGGCTTGCTGCCTCTGATCCCTCCCAGCTGTGACGAGCCTCCCTCCTCTGGACTGGCCTCCCTCCCCTGAGGCTCGGTTGTCCTGTTTTGCAGACGTGGACGAGTGCGCGTCCCATCCGTGTCAGAACGGCGGGACCTGCACGAATGGGGTGAACAACTTCAGTTGCCAGTGCCCGGCTGGCTTCGGGGGCCTTACCTGTGAGACAGGTGAGCAGAATACCTGGGCCCTGTGGTCCCCACTAGTGCAGGGCAGCCAGGAAGGACCCACTAATGGACAGGGTCTGACCCCACCAGGAAGCATCGGACAGCTGTGCGGGTCACAGAAGGGGCCGCACGAGATGTCAGCAGCCCAGAGAGGCTGGGCTGGGCGGATGGCCCTGTCCCAGTGGACAAGAGTGTGACCACAGCAGACATCTTGGGCATCCTGACCTGGGATGAGGCCTTGGAACAGGCTGCTCCCTGAGTTCTGGACTTGGTTAGGTCAGGCCAGGCCGGCCGCCAGGCATGGCAGAGAACCTGTTTTAATAGCTAGAGACTCATGGCCACAGAACGATGTTCTGACAGCTGAATTCTAGTTTGCATACATAGTTTCTGTTGGAGGGAAGTGTGACAGGCTGTCACTAAGTGACTTCTCCACATGAGTCTAGGGGAGACTGACTTGGGAGGAGAGAATTTCCAGCCAGCAAAGGGGCCTTCCTTGGCTTTTGTTTGTGGGCTGCTTGCTTGCTTTTTAAATTAACAGCCTCTATTTCTTAGAGCGGTTTCAGAACACTGTGCAGAAAGCACAGACCCCCAGCTACTGCCCTCCGTGTAGCTCCCCTTGGAACACCTTGCATTCCATGGTGCATTTGTCATGAGCCAACATGGACACGTTGTCACTAACACACGTCCAGTGTTTACACGAGGGGTCACTCGGTCCTGTGGGTTTTGACAAATGCACCATGTCACATGTCCACCCTTCCTGTATCAGAAGCGCGTCACTGCCCCAAAACTCTCCCGTGCTCACCCTCCCATCCTGGCGCTTCCGCCCTCCCCCGCCCCGGCCACCACCAGTCTTTTCTGCCTCTATAGTTGGGTACAGTGGCTCTGACGACAAGCTCAAGCATGGCAGCAAGTAGGGTGCAGACCGGGCAGAGCTCTGTTCTGTTGCACACGGGGCCACCGTGACTCGGAGCTGACTCGACGGTGCCTGACAACAACAGTTTCTCCTCTTCCAGAATGTCGAACATCAGAGGCATACAGAGGTTGCTTTTCAAACAGGCTTCTCTCACCCAACAACATGCAGTTAAGGTCTCTCTGTAACTTTTGGTGGCTTGACAGTGCACTTCCCTCACCACCGAACAGTCGTCCGCTGTGTGCACGGACACTGTGTTCAGTGACTTCCTCAACACCAGACAGTCATCCACTGTGTGCACGGACACTGTGTCAAGTGCACTTCTCACCACTGAACAGTCATCCACTATGTGCACAGACACTGTGTTCAGTGACTTCCCTCACCACCGAACAGTCGTCCACTGTGTGCACGGACACTGTGTGCTTCTGTCGCCTTCTAAAGGACATGTTGGTTACCCGCCCTTGAGTCACCCCCAACTCATGATGACCCCTTGCGCAACAGAACAAAACACAGCCTGGCCCTGCGCCACCCCATGATTGGTGGTCTCACAGCCTGGCCCCACACCACCCCATGATTGGTGCACATTGGACATGGTCTCACTGGCTGATTTTTGGACATAGATCCCAGGCCTTTCTGCCTAGTCTTAGACTGGAGGCCCCACGGGAATCTGTTCATCATCCCAACAGCGTGCACAGCCTCTGCTGACAGACGGTGGTGGCTGTGCACGAGGTGTACTGACTGGGATTGAACCTGGGACTTCCTGATGGAGGGCTAGACTTCTGCCCCTGAGCGCCCACTGTCTCTATATGCGTATGTTGCCCCTCCTAAAGTTGTCCCACCGTTCTTTAATGTTGTATTCTTCACAACTCTCCCCTTGTAGCTCAAAGCCCCTGTGATGCCACAGCATGTCAGAACGGTGGCCAGTGCCAGGTAGAGGGTCAGGCTGCGGTGTGTGTGTGCCCAGCCGGATATACAGGGGCAGCCTGCGAAGTTGGTAAGAGGCCATCCTTGGCGGGAGGTGGGGAGGGAAGTGAGGCATGCTGGGAGAGGCCCCTGTCATGGGGTGGATGTCTCATGTCCCTGCTGTCCCCCAGATGTGGATGACTGCAGCTCTGGCCCATGCCTGAATGGAGGCTCGTGTATTGACCTGGTGGGGAATTATACCTGCCTGTGTGCTGAGCTCTTTGAGGGTCCTCTCTGTGAGACAGGTAACTGGCTCTGTGCCTAGAGTCCTCCTGAGGTGACAGTGGGTTGGAACTGTGGACACTGTCACAGCCACTCACCCCTTTCCCAGCTTGGTCCACATGTTTCACTGGAGGCAGGGAGCAGGGAGGTCTTTACCCTTCCCGTACTGTCCAGTCCTTCCTGTCCTCAGAGCCCCCGTCTGCAGGAAAATGGGAATCCAAGGCAACACCTCAGTCTTGGCTCTGCTGCTGACAGGCCATGTGATGCTGAGCAAGTCCATCCCCTCTCTGGCCCTGGTCTCCCATCTGTGCCCTGGTCTCCCATCTGTGGAAGGCAGAAATAGACTGCTGAAGCGCCACACCCTTCTCCCAGCTCCAGTGACTCTGGGCTTTGAACACCCTTCCTTCCTCCTTCAGACCTCTTGCCATGCAAGAGAAAGGGCTGTGTTGATGTGTTACAGTTCACCTTGGCCAGGTATGTGAACTCACCTTGGCCAATCTTGTGGATTCCAGACTCTTAATTAAATACTATTGTTTTTAACTAAAGTCATATCAGAAAACAGATAAGTGACTTCAAAAGTTTCTATAAAGAAACTGCATTTTAAATGGTGTTGGCAAAACTGGATATCCATTTGCAAAAAATGAAACAAGATCTGTACCTCACACCATACACAAAAATGAACTCCAGATGGATCAAAGACTTAAATGTGAAACCTAAAACTATAAAGTTCCTCAAGGAAAAACCAGGGGCAAATTTAGGGGCCCTG